TGTGGTGGTAGTGGTGTTAATATCCCGAAACATTTAAGTATGCGAGGCTGTGGAATCTGCCCTGTTCTTACCAGTGTTCAATCTGTCCTGACTAATGACTTCACTCCTCTGTCACAAAGGCTACAGTGATTACATTGGGTAATGAATGAAAGAACGCAAAAGCCTTCACACACTCAAAAGAAGTTAACTGTGACAGCACATACATGCTGTGTAGCAATCGCCTCTGAATGACACATTCCTTCCAGGAAATGTGTGTGTGTGTGTGTGTGTGTGTGTGTGTGTGTATGTGTGTGGGGGGGGGTTGTCCTCAAGAGACTCAGGAGTAAACAAAGCCTTACAATTTCCTCAAAGCCGAACTGTATTTATTCATGAGGATTCACAAGGCCTTCCTGAAGGCCACAGAAGCAGCAGACAACTGCCTAGGGCGGCACCAGTCAGCCCAGCTGCCTGCAGGAAATATTCTCTCTGGAGCTGTCCTTGTGGAGGGAGCTCCAAGCCTTTAGACTTTATGAGCTGTTACCCAGCTTAGTTGGACTGAGCTGCCCATGCTCCTGTATGCAACCTTTCTCCATATGCCTCTAAGTAACCCAATGAAGTCACTGGTTTGCCAAGCTGAGCCTTGGTTTTGTTTCTTGGGTTTGTTGTGGGTTCCCTAGTTGGGGAGAGTAGATGTTTATTTGTGTCTCTGCAGGAAAAGTCACATAAGAGTATACAAGAAATATCTGCTACTTGTGACAGATAGTATGGTTACATCCTGAATTTTGCCCATGTTTACTTCATAGACAATGAAAAAAATAGTTTGTTTGGAGATAAGTGCTGTGTTCTAGTCACTGGTGACAACCATCACAATTTCTAGGACTCAGTCTGGGACACTGGCAGAGGGAATTAATTGGGTGAATTTTTCTAACAAGCTATAGATTCAGCATTCTGTTAACATTCTACTTAGGAAATAATGCTTTGTTTACAAAAATCTGAGGTGGGTTCATATGCATACCAAAGTACTGAAAGTTCCTTCTAAACCACATAATACCTTTTATGGTCTTTGGGTTTTAAGTGTTGAATTGATTTCCATTGAAGAAAAAAGGGTAAAGTATATGATATATGCTTTTCTATACATAAAACTCATTTCAAATTTAAACCAAAACCAAAACCAACCAAACAAAGCCAAGATCTACTGAGCATCTATGACAGTCCAGGCACATCAGAAAACTTCATCTAGTCCTTGTGACAAGCCCAGTAGGTGGGTGGTACTGTTAGTCTCCTTACAGATACACAAACACTACATCTTAGTGAGGACCAATAGGCTTGCAGGAAGAGGAGGCGGCACTAGACCAAACCCAGAGTCTCTCAGAGTCCAGATGCCTCTGCCAGCCTACCTCTCTCCAGACAAAGTCCTCAGGGCAAATCTCAGGTTGTGACTACAGAACAGTCTTTAAACACAAAGGCATGCAGAGCTGAAATAAAATGTGCTATTTTAGGAATGGAAATCAATACTTACATAGAAGCGTGACACAGTTTTCCCACCCACAGTTAGGGCTGCTGTTTTTCCATCATAGTTTTCCTTGGGAGTATATTTTACCACATGACAGTCTTGTACCTGAAAAAAAATAAAAATAAAAATAAAAAAGCCCACAAAACTTAAGCTTGTACCGTGATCCACCACATATAATGAGGGCCTAGGACAATTAGGATTTCAGAGTTACTTAACTCATTATCCACTCTAACAGCCAGCAGCGAGATCACAGTTACAACCAGGAACTGAAAGAACTGGATGTGAAGTGATGGGCTTGAGATATTTTCTAAGAATGAACTAAGTGGCAGATCTACATTAACCCTCCCTGCCAGGACATTGCTCTAGGTTTCCTAATCCCACTGTGGGAAGACTGGTTGAGGCCAGACTCTATTTTCCCAGACCCATCAGAAGCAAAGTTCTTTGCTATTATCTGTCACGTTTTCCTTTACCACAGTTTTCTCTCTGAGATACACATTTCAACCATTACAGCTTATGTGCACAGATCTTGGCACGCACATAGATGTTCTTATATTTCTATGTTTTCTTACCTGAAGTAATGTGACTGCATGCTTTTGACCATCTTTGGTCCATAAAGGCATCATGCCGAGCTTGAGGGCGATAAGGCCAACTCTGGAAGAACCTGGCAATAAATACAATATATTTAAGACTATTTACAGATGTAAGCATCTTCAACTATATCAGGCACTGTAAGTATCTTCAATTATATCAGGCATGATATACTGGTGGTTAACAAATGTTTATAAAATGAACAAATGTAAAATAATTCTAATATTCAGTTTTAAGATAAAAGTATTAATACAGAGCATATAAATCCATCATTATTTTTTTCCTAGTTTCAGATCCTATCCAGCATTATCAATCAGAAAACACCTATTCAAATTCTAAGGTATTAGATGGTACTATACTATACAGATGCCATAGGCTCTCCTATTAAAATGTAATCTATTAAGAACTTTTGGGGTTGGGAATGTAGCTCGGGAGGCAGAGTGATTGCCTCGTATGCACAAGGCCCTGAATATGATCTCATGAACTACATAAGGCAAGTCTGAGAGTATATGCTTATAACCCAGCACTCAGGAGGTAGAGGCTGGAAATTCAGGAGTTCAAGGCCACCCTTGACTACAGTGAGAGCTCAAGCCAGGCTAGACTTGAACTTCTGTCACTAAACAATGCAAATGCCTCAATAATTCCAGAGACCACATGTTCA